CTTGTAAAAGTAAATTTCTCTGTGCTTTCTATATTAATATTCCTTCACTTAGGGCAGTTATATTAGTTTAAGAGTTGTGGTAATTTGTACTTATATATATATATATATATATATATATATATATATATATATATATATATATATATATATATATATATATATATATATATATATATATATATTACATACTTGGTAATAAATACAGGGTTTTTTGCATATGTGATACAGTTAAAATTACATTAGCCGTATCAGCCCTAGGGGCAACTCCAGCATGCTAGCGGTTCACGGCGAGATACGTTTGAATTGGCGCCGCGTAACCTCTAGCATCCATTGCAAACTTCTCGCGGCTGAAACCCCAAATGAAATAAATTATTGAATTAAAAATAAGGCTTTGTATATTAACGAATGGCACGAAACAATAAAATACTCACAATATACGATAAAACGGACGCATAAAACACTATTAATCTCTTGTATTAGCAATAAATCCATAAAGCAGAAATTGAAACAAGTCGTCTGTTTAAAATTCGGAAATGGAATGCAGAAAATATGACGAAACGAAACTAGTTTACCACAACGAATTTTTGTTTTCTGAATAGCAATCCGCAAAATTAATGTGAAGTCAAAATCGAAAGTACTTCTGGTGACAAATTGGAATAATGACAATTTTCATTAATGAACCATAATGCACACAGAATAAAATGGATTTTATGATTTATTGTGACTTTCATACCTCATGCAAACACGTACCTGAAAATTACTTGTTAACAGTTAATTTCACGCATAATATGCGGAACGAGCTCGTTAGAAAATGGCCTTCGGATGTAAGAGTCCGAGGTAAGGAGCGTAGGGACATTAACCGAGGCTCTTACTTGTAGGAGGGTGTGTTCCGATTTCGCCTTAACTGTGAAATTTAGGTAAGAAAAAGTCAAAAAGTACTAAGGCGAAATGTGAATTTTAATATTTGTAAATATTATAATAATTTTAATTTTAAAAATTGAATTAGATTGAATTTAACAGTTAATGGGAATTTATGAATACAGTGAATGAAATAATACATTTAACACCAAGTATTTTCTTAAAAAATTTTTATGCTAAATATTTTAAATCTTCATCACCTTAATTCACCTGAGTGCTTACTAAGGAAAAATGGGAATGCGAAATTTTACAGTTAAGGTATTCAATCCCTAATAGGAACAAATTGAATGAATTTGAATACCTAACAGATATGTAAACATTGAATACTCAATTTATTTAGTCACACTTCCCATATATTACTATTTGTAAGTATAGTGGGATTTGTCCTAATTTATGAACTTGAATTTTGGTAAGAGTTATATCCCCTTTTTTTAAGTAATAAAAAAAAATCAATTTTAATTTAGCTAAAAATTTAGCTGGTAAAAAAATTGTTTTAAATTGTCATTCTATTCTTAATGTTTCAATGCATCTTTCCACCGCAGGATTTTTTGATATTCAATTTTTTTTTAATTTTCATTTTGAAAAAATGCTTTTCCCCATAGATTTCAATGCAATCTATGTTAATTAACTACTGCGTAATTAATGACATTTTTAAAACTTTCTCGCGGTCAATCATTTTCTGCTATAAAATGCTTTAATAAAATATGAGAGTATTATTTACTTGATGGATATTTAAGTGTAGGGAATTTGGTCCCGTTAGGGATGGAAATCCTTAAGGCGAGATGGGAACAAACCTGTAGGAGTACCTCGGGGGCTGATATGGATTCTTCAGTGCTGATATGGATTTGTAGGACTTATACGGATATTATCACTTTCCGGAACTCCTCTGTTTTTTTCGCTTCGGGTTTTATATGTCATAGGTTAGTTTGGCAGACGATCATGGACGAAAAACAGAAACTTCTTAACGAAAAAAACCTTTGAAGCACTTGGAAGCAGTCTGAGTGAACTGGAATAATTGTGTTGTTTGAACACCACTGATGTGTGTGACGATTCTTTCGGTTTATTAGATTCAATGTCATTAGACCAAGATGAAAACCTTGAGCCAGTAGTTACTACGCTCGACAGTGACTCAGTGACCGACACGCTGGATGATGAAACTTTGGAAAAGTCTACCTTTGATTTTGTGAAGGAACTGAAAAATGTTAAAACAACGAGAAAAACTGATTCGGACTGAAGAAAATTTACAAATTACTTAACAATGAACAAAGCGTTGAGAAAACCAGAGGAAATCCCGGTCGAAGAACTCGATTTACATCTAGCTAGATTTTTCATGAATGCGAAGAAAACGAATGGTGAGGAATTTGAACCAGACACGCTGAAATCAATACAAGGAAGTGTTAATCATTACTTTGCAGATAGAAATTTGAAAATAAACATTATAAATGATAAAAAAATTTAAACATTCTCGTGATGTTCTTGCCTCGAAAAGAAAGCTACAAAGACCCATTGGCAAAAGAAACCGCGAGAAAAGAACAGAGCCCCTTACTCCTGAAGAAATTGATATTCTATACCAAAAGAATCTTCTGGGTACCGGTAAGTTATAATTTATTAATACTAAGAATATTTAGTTCTTCAAATTTACAATTTAAACAAAATATAAATATCAAAAAGAAGGATTTCTGTTTTAAATTGTCATTTGCGGAACATAAATTTTGTCAAATATATTTTGTACATATCTGTATGGCAAGCCCTTTTACTATTTATTCGTAAAATAAATTTTTCTTTCAAAATGAGAGATATCTCTCTAGCATAGAGAAATATCTCTTTAGCTTATGGAGATATCTCTTTAGCTTAAAGAGATATCTCTTTGACTAATAGAGATATCTTAATACTTTAGAAAGATATCTCTTTCAACAAAAGAGATATCTCTTTTTGAAAGAGAGATATCTCTTTTAGTAAGAGAGATATCTTTATAAGCTAGAGAGATATCTCTTTAAGCGAGAGAGATATCTCTTAAAGTTAGAGAGATATCTCTTCAACAAAGTTAAAAGAGATAACTCTCTGAGTTAGAGAGATATATCTTTAGATTTTCAAAGAGAGATATCTTTCTAAGCTTAAGAGATATCTCTTTTAATGAAAGAGATATCTCTTTTCCAATCACCCTTAAAATAAAATAACTAATTCTCCCGTTAAAAACGAAAGCGAAACAGGAAGTAATGTCTGGTAAGTCGTTCGTTTTCTGGTTATTGAAAAGAAGAGGATAAAATGGACTGATTGATACAGGTAAACAACGTTAATTGCTTTATTGTTTTAAGCGAAAGTAACAGGATTTCAAACCAAAACGTCCCCCAAAGATTGGTTCCATATTATATTTATTTCATTTATTTAGCTCACAGGACAGCTGAGCCGGGGATATAGAATGCGAAGTCAATAAAAACAAATTCGAAATAGGCCTACATGCACCCAATTTCATCGATCAGGGAATACAGGATTGATTACTACGTCGATTAAACATAATCCTGATAGAATTAATGTTCTTTTTTAATTAATTAATACTCCAAAAATAAAAACGCCCAACATTACTTCTTTCATGTAAACAGGGATGTATATATTCAACTTCAATATTAGCTGTAGGACGTTAAACGACATACAATTACGATCAATATATTAACTGTAAAGCCTTATGACCCCCTTCCCAAACACAGGCACCTGAAGTATGGATAATACCCCCCCCCCCTTTTTTTTATATTTTTTTTAAATTTAACCAAAAAAAGGGGGGGTATTATCCATACTTCAGGTGCCCGTGTTCCCAAATACTCTTACAATTATGAGAAAGACATTTTATTTTCTTAAAATAGGCATCAGAAATAGGAATTTTCTTATTTGTCTTAGCTAGAACAATCCCCAATTTATCCATTGTTGTCACCAAACAGGTCTGCACTGGGTCCATAAGACATTCATCATTCAATGGTAGAACATTTTATCTACATTTGTCATATTTTACAGAGAAAAAGGGACAATGCTTCGACTGAATGTGTCATCCATGTACCAGTATAGACCTGTTAATGAGGCATATCCAATAATTCTTATACTCATGAAGAGTGCGGCAACTCCCAAGTAGTTAAGGATGGCACTCATTTTAAATCAGGTACAGGATAATTTTTTGGGCTGCACTTTTCTTTACTTCAATATTTCAAACTCACTAGTTAAGTATCAAGTCCACAAAAGCTCAAACACCATGGTGAATCAATGGACCATAATGATAGTTAAATTTGTCATATGCTTTCTTATTAAATTATCAATTTGAAATTTGATTGGTAAAAAACATTTATTAACAAGTACAATTCTTCTAATGTGTGCCTGTCATCCCAACAATTGCAAATGCACATCGATAGGTTCTCCATGAAAATTGCTAACTGCGCAGAATGGTTGCACATTTTTTTCAATGAACATTTTCTTAACATTGAATCCTTCAGTATAACAAGACAAATATTGCATGCTTATTTTAATACAATATAAATAAACTTAAGAACAAATTTAAGGATTGAAGTTTAATTTGTATATTTGGTAGTTACATGCGTAATTAGTTTTTTATATAAAGGATGTACACAAGCATTTTATAACATTGAAAATATTCAAGAAAGTATTCTCTTAATTTCTTGTAGATCCTCACTTCTAGGATGTTTTCCATGTTCTTGTGAAAAGTGTTTTACATGGCACCATTCAGCTACAAATACTTTGCCGGTGGAACTGTGACATCAATCAACTGCTCATGCCACTGCTAATTGGCAGAATTTCCTTTGGGACAAGCAAACTGTTTCAAATATTTTACACCTGCAAGTTAGTACTTATGAAATTTTGTTTGCAGGAAGCTAAAAGCTAATGAGTACTGAAAATACAAGCCAGATGAAGTACAAAAGTGTTGATACAAGTCATTTAGAATTTTCAATTCTTTGCAGGTAGTGATGAGTGTACTGGAAGTTTTTTTGGGATCTTGTCCGACATCATAGGTACAACTGGTCACTGTGCTTTCTTGGTTATATAAGCAGGCATATTGTTAAAGCGGTGACACATGTAGCTTCAAATGATGCTTGACTGTTTAAGTGTTTTTCTTTGATTTATAAGTAAACCTGGATTGATCTCTGATGCAGTAATACAGATCCATGTCCATTCTTTAATACTCCATTATCCCACTGTCACAAAGTACTGAAATAAAAATGATTTTGATTTTAAAAATTTTTGGTTTTTATATGTAACATATAATTCTACAGAAATTCCAATATTAAAACTACTTCAAAACAAGATGTGTTTGTGAAACACTATGCACCAGGCGGCAACAAATTCAAACAAGTTTTTTTAAGCATATAGGTCATAGTCAAGGTCACAAGGTCATTGGCCTTGGTGTCATTTGAAAGAGCTTAATTAGTGGAGTATGCAAATCAAATATGAAGTCTCTATCTTTAACGGTACAAAAGGTATGGTGAAAGTTCAAAATGGTATTTATAGCATTAAAGTCACATTAAAGGTCAAAAGTTCACTGGCCTTGGTGTCATTTGAAAGAGCATAATTAATGAAGAAGGCATTCCAAATATGATTTCTCTATCTTTAATGTATCAAAAGTTAAGGCGAAAGTTTAAAAAAAAGCTATTTTTAGCATATAGGTCACAGTCAAGGTCACAAGGTCATTAACCTTGGTGTCTTTTGAAAGAATTTAATAAGTGGAGTAGGCATATTAAATATGAAGTCTGTACCTCTCATGGTTCAAAAGTTATGGTGGAGGTTAAAGTTGAAAAAAGACAAACAGACATAGAAACAGGATATAAACAATAGACAATAGTTCACTTATTTTATGATTGTGTATATTAATGTTACTGAATTTTGGAATCAATTTGTACAAAGGTTTAGTGTCGTTGAAAAAGATTACAAAATATCCAAAAGAACTGTTTTACTTGTTAATATAGAAGGAAGTTGTTTAGAAAATTTCCTTTTATTAGTTGCAAAAAATTTTATTTACTATTCATGATCACAAGATAGTAAGCCATTATTTATTGATGCAGTAAAGTTATTCAAGTATTACATAAACATAGAAAATTGTTGTGAAAAAGTTTTTCAATGTAAGGACAAAATACTCAGTAAATGGGTCCTGTATGATAATGTGTACAACAAGTGATGAAAAAATCAAAATGTAATTTTTTGTTAATTTATATCTACACATTTGGGTACATCTGTTTTGTTTTTGGATAAATTGTATGTTTAACTGTCATATGTTTACATATACATGTATGTACATTTATTATGCCCCCCTCCCCCCTTTGAAGAAAGGGGGGCATATTGCTTTGCTGCTGTCTGTCAGTCCATTTAGTTTCCATTCATTTTCTTCACAACCATTGCACTGAAATGAAATTTGGTATACAGCCTTACAGGTATATCAGATGAACATTTAGGTCAAGTTCTGTTTTGGGTATGATCATCGCACCATTTTTGACAGAGTTATACCCCTTGGCTTTAGAAAAATTCCAATTACTTGCAGTTTCTGTTCATTTCCTTTGCAGAGGTTGCACATAGTGAAATGCAATTTAGTATACAGATTTATCAGATGATCATGAATATCTAGGTCAAGTTCTCTTTTGGGTATGCTTGCACCATTTTTGACAGAGTTATGCCTTTTTAGACTTAGATAAAAAATTCCAATGTGGGGGGAGGGGGCATAAGTATTTTACAAACATCTCATTATTTTTAATTTTAGAAACTGCACTGTGTGAGTGTGTGCAATTGTGGTGGTGAGTGGGTGAAAATTGTCTTGTGTTTGTACAGTGTATATATGGATATGGAAAATGCTTCAAAATAAAGCATTTAAAAAAAAAGTTTTGGAAAGTATGGCAATCATATACCATGCAGTACTCAGAAATACTAAATAAAAGGCTGCATAGAAGAAAAAAAAATTAAAACTACCAATCAAATAAGTATTAAATGTAAATCTTTTAAGATGAAGGTTTTGCTTTGTCAGATTCTTTGCTTATAGGGACACTTACCTTTAATAATGTCATGACAGGTGAGACACGTGGCTGGTCTTCATGCTGGATCAGTTCTTAGTTAAAACCATCCAGTATTGCCCCAAGATTGCCAGATGTACAGACAAAACCTGTAATTTAGCAAGCTTCTGTAATATGCCAATTGAATTATTACATAGGCCATAGTTGTATGTGCAACTGATAATGATGTAGGACTAAGGTGCCTGACAAATAATGAGTTATAAATCTTACAAATATCCATTTATTTGATACAAATCTTAACTTTCTTAATTAAATTTTATCAATGATTTTACAAGAAAATCAGAATAAAAATTGTCCTTTTTATACATAAAAAATATTTTCATTTAAAATCTTTTTATTTAAAAATATTTGTTGCATTTTCATATTTAGGGTACCCTTCCTAGGCCAACAATAAAAAAAATGATTTGTTTGATGTACTCTGACCTACCTGTTCAAATAGCCCCTACCCAACTGCATTCATTTCTTGGGGGCACTTAAAATTTTGTAACAACCCCCTTAATTTCCATAGATGTTTTAAAGATAAGGTATCATATTTTTTTTTAGGATGCTTTTTAATTTATAAATACAAAGTCTTTGTAACTAAATGAAAACATTAACAGATTTCTGAGTCTGTGGTTTTAAATATGACAGTTATCAATTTATTCAATGCTGTAAGACATAAGAAAAAAAACTAGAAATATGTCCACAGGACAGGAATGCCCGCCAAGGGTATATTAGTCATGCAAAATGAAAATTTGTATGAAATTTGATCAGAATATCTTGAAAAATGTTACAGTTGAATTGCTTACATCAGTATGTATCAGCATATGAAGTTTGACACTAATTTCAGAGATGTGAGGTCAAGGTCAAATAAAAGGTCAACGTCATGTTGATGCAGTTGAATTGCTTACATCAGAATGTATCACCATATGAAGTTTGACACTAACTTAGGAAAATTGAGGTCAAAGTCAAAAGAAAGGCCAAGGACAAAAAATGTTTGTTTCAGTTGAAAAGCTCTCATCAGTATTGTAAGTTTGATACAGTAAATCTCGTTTAGTACGAACACGAATATTGCGAATTCATGGGTATAGCGAAGTCATCTTGGATTCCCAGCTATAAAATTTCAATGAATTTCTTATACGATTGTAATGAATTATGGATAAAGCGAAGTAATTTCATAGGTCCCAGCAACTTGGTTATAACCGAGTTTTGCTGTAACACCATCTTGAATGGTATGTTTAAAACTAAGTTAAACACTAATTTAAGAAAAGTGAGGTCAAGGTCAAAGGAAAGGTCAAGGACAGAAAATGCTGATGCAGTTGCATAGCTCTTATCAATAACTATCAGCAAAGTTTGATGAAATATCCTGTATAGTTTCTTTGAAACTGGGCTTTGAACTGAGCTAAACGCAAAGTGTGACGCATGGACAGAAAGACAGAAGACAGACATGACAAACACTATATGCCCAGGCCATAATCATTGGGGCATAAAAAAAACTACCGGTACCAACCTACCTGCCAACCTTGATATATTTTTAAAGCTGGTCAGTTGTTGACTAGTATATTAGTCATTTTGACATGCTATGTCTTATAAAAAATAAATTTTATATTTGTCTTAGAACTTATTTGTTGCATCAATTTCATACCTGTATTTGATTTCCATTGTTTTGGATGCTGATAATTCAAAGTCATGATCAGTATAGTCTTAGGTGCTGCTGACTTTGGATCTCTTAGGAACTGCATCTTTTATTTGTGTTACTGGTTCTCTTGTACCTCTGCTATAAATAAGTTTTAGTGTATACAGTTGTGTAATATCAGTGAATAAATTGAACAGACAGATTGATTGTTTATTGTTTATCATTCCTCTCAAGAATTTTTCACTCATATGGAAACGACAGTGGAGAGCTGCAAATTTTGTCCTAATGACCTATACTCAGCACTCAGGGCCATTGACTGATTGAGCACTGAGCAGGAAGGGATCTTTTTTGTGCCAACACCTGATCTACTGCAACAAGGGGCCACAGTTATACTGTATCATCCCAAGGACAGGTCTCCACATCCCACAGTGGGATTCAAACTCATGATGTAAGGATCAACACCTTATTTCGCGACTCTACTAGAGCAGACACTCTAACCACTGTGCCATGCAGGCGAATTTGAACAGACAGAAAAATTTACCAAAATCCATAAACCATGTTCTATAAACAGAAAAAACATACTCTCTAAAGTGAGAAATATGGTCATCTAAATTTTATTTTATGCAGAGAGATGGCAAAATATATGAACATCTTATCCTTGTGAAATAGATCTAAATTGCTACAAACATTTAATGCTCAAAAAAATAATCCACTAATACAAAGCAGGTTAAAATTTACTGAAAAACAAGATGTGTTTGTGAAACACTGATGCCCCCGTACGGCAATTTAGCGACAGTTAAGCTTTCTCAAATGCAAATCAAATATGTTAATTGGTACCAAAGTAAGGTCTTTTCACAAGAAATGAGAAATGTAAACACTAACTACACCTGCTCCAGGGTTATGACCAATGTTAAAATCTTAAAAGATAGGACAAATTCCGGGTCAAGGTCAAAGGGTCAAGGTTGTTGTGTTCTATAGAAAGGCCTTGTCTCAAAGATTACGTATGGGAAGTATGAAAGCACTGGCCCTTACCGTTCAAAAGTTATGGCCAAGGTTAAAGTTTGTAAAAAGTAGGTCAAACTTTAAGGTCAAGGTCAAAGGGTCAAGATTCTTGAAATCCAATGAAAGGTATTGTCACAAGGATTACACATGTGAAATATGAAAGCTTTAGCCCCAACTATTCAGAAGTTATGGTCAAGGTTAAAGTTTGTAAAAAGTAGGTCAAACACCAAGGTCAAGGTCAGATGGTCAAGGTCCTTGAAATCAAATGAAAGGTCTTGTCACAAGGATTAAATTTGTGAAGTATGAATGCCCTAGTCCTAACCCTTCAAACATTTCTGTCAATGTTGTATTTTTAAAGTGGGTCAAACTCCAAGGTCAAGGTCAAAAGGTCAAATTTGGTGGTACCCAAAGAAAGGTCTTTACACAAGGAATATACATATGAAATATGAAAGTCATAGCTCCACTAAATCAAAAGTTATGGGCAAGGTGAAAGTTTTTGCGGACAAACAGAGAGACAGACAGACAGACGGACACGACAAAAACTAATTACCCCCGAAACTTCGTTTACGGGGGCATAAAAAGTATATTAAAAAATTACCCAAACAAAAGTGATGCAGCCACAATATCATAAATATGACGTTGGTTCCCATCAATGACAAAACTCCTCCTCTATAATCAGCTGATGAATAACATCTCGGATTCAAGAGAAATCTGTTAACAAATTAAGGCAAAAGATAATTTTGAAACTATTTCATTCGGTAAAGAATAAAACACTTCATTTTCCCTCAAAATAAACAAGAAACGGATGACACTCTCTGATTTGTTTACCTTTATTTCGATCGAAATATTCCTGGTGGACGCTCGCACCCAATTTCTTATGACATGAAATTCATACATCGTAAGTCGGACAACCCTTCGGCTTTGAAAAACTATTTAATTTCCCCCTGAAAGCTGTGTGTAAACCAGAAACTTGCTGAACTCAATACACATTCACCATGACCATGTGCGAGGAAGTGAAAATTATCGTAAAATCTCGCGAGTCACGTGACGAGACTTACAGACTCTGGACCGAATTTTCTCAGCTTTTGAAATAAAGAATAAAAAGTTCACTTCCGGTAAAGGGAGAAGTCATTTCAAATGGAATTTAAATAAACATAATGAAGAGAGATATCTCTTTGCAATAAAGAGATATTTCTTTTTGCTTCAGAGATATCTCTTTTAGACCCTTTTGAAAGATATCTCTTTCACTTTGAAAGATATCTCTTAAGATAAACTTAGAGAGATATCTAGTTTACTTAAAGAGATATCTCTTTATCTTGGAAAGATATCTCTCTCTCTCTAAGTGAAAGAGATATCTCTCTAGGTGAAAGAGATATCTCTCTAGTTGAAAGAGATATCTCTCTAACGATCAGAGATATCTCTTTAACGTTCAGAGATATCTCTTATCACGAAAGAGATATCTCTCAAGGAGAAAGAGATATCTCTCAAAGAAAAAGAGATATCTCTCTAAGTATAAGAGATATCTCTTTAGAATAAGAGATATCTCTTTCTTATAGAGATGTCTCTTTAGAATAAGAGATATCTCTTTAAGTTGAGAGATATCTCTTATTTTTAAGAGATATCTCTCTAAAATGAGAGATATCTGTGTAATTTTCAGATGAAATTTATTTTGCGAATAAATAGTAAAAGGGCTTGCCATATATCTGTGTATTTTCTGTCTTAAATAATTCATTTCTAATAATATTTTTAGGAGATGCAAAGTCTCTGATGAATGTGTTGTATCTAAATAATACAATGCATTTCAGAATGCGCAGTAGGATTGAACCTGTCAACCTGAGGTGGGATGATGTGACAATGAAAGTTACCTCAACAGGAGAAGAGTACTTAGAATACACAGAAAGAGCAACTAAGACAAGAACTGGTATAACGAGTGACACCAGGAATTTTGCTTCGAAAATGTTTGAGGATAGAGGTACACATTAATTTTAGAGAAAAAAAAATGTACACATACCTATTAGCTAAGCATAAATATCTTGGAACTCATGTTTACAAGAATGTATTTTGCTAAATTTTATATTAGTACTATCTTACATCATGCAGGTAATCCCCAAGGCCCTGTGTTAGCTTACAAAGAGTTTACCAACAGGAGACCTGAGGCAATGAAAAGGCCTGAGTTACCTTTCTACATAGGCATTCCAAGAAATCCAGGAAAAACCTAGTTCATTAATCAACCTATGGGGAAACACAATTGGAAATCAGGGTTCTCCATGAGCTGTTTTACTGTGTTGCTCCCGGCACAGTAAAATTTTCTCCGACACAGTACATGTAACGGTTCAAATTTAATGCGTGCGACACAGTAAAAAATTTCCTGACACAGAAAGATCTGTGATGATCAGAAAATCAAAACATATCAATTCTCTAAAACTGAAACTTTGATCAAACAAATCTAACAGTTTGTTGATGATAATCTTCCTATATGCGATGTTAAAGTGCATGTGACATTAAGTAAATGTTTCTATTATGACGTCATCTTAATTATGACGTCATGGTAACGTCAATGTTATCCAGTGTTTTGAATGATCAGTCTAGATAAATAAGTCAACGTGATTAGAGGTGTTTTTCATTCTATCTGACTCAACATTTGGTGCCGTGACCAGTGGGAAAGTAATAGCAAACTAGAAATGGATGTAATCTTAAAGGCACAGCGTTCAGGCCATCGTGGAGTAATAACCAAAATTTGAGGAGAATTTCTGAAATTGAAGATGAAAATGGAAAAGCTGAAATGATCAATGTACTGGAGGAAAAGTGGGACATATTAGAGAAAATCAACAGCCAGATTCTACAAGAACTAGAGAAAAAAGAAGAAATTCAAATGGAGATCGAAGATTCAGATGAGTACATGCTAGATTTGAGATTAAAATTAGTAGAACTGACAAAGAATGGAAAAGCTTCTGAGAATCTTATTCAAAGTACATCCAGGAATTTAAATGTAAATGCACCACAGTTCATTCCAAGCAGTGAATCATTAGAATCCAGGATAGGAAAACCTAACATTCATAGTCACAATCTACCAGCAGAAATTCAGAAGAACATTACCCGGGACAAAGGAGATGATCAATGGGAATTGAATTCACTGAGAAGAGCCATCAAGAAGGAGCTATGTGTTCAAGATGCTGGACAGGGAGTGCAATCAAAACAAGAAACCCAGGAATTCATTCCAACAGCTAACTTTGTTGCAGGATCAAGTCATAAAAGGAGCAACAAGCAGGAAAATTATGTGAAGCAATGCTTATTCTGCAATGGAAATCATTCACCAATTAACTGCCATAAAGTCCAAGACTATGATAAAAGAATATCAATCATCAAACAGAAAAGAGTCTGCTTCAATTGCTGTGGAAATCACAAAGTAAGTGAAAGTAAATGAAATTTCAAATGCAGGAATTGTAAGAAGTCTCATCACACAAGTATTTGCAAGAATTCGCAACTACCTCAAAGTTCCCCAAAGAGAGATGTCACAAAATCTGAGAGCACACAAGCGAATCAACCAAGTCAACGAGAGCAGTCGTTCCAGCTTCATTCTTTAACACAGGTGACAGCCACCACTGAAGTGCTACTGAAAACTGCTGTGACACCAATTTGGTATGGAAATCAAGAAATCAGCTGTAATATATTGCTTGATGAAGGGGCTCAAAATTCATTTATTACAGAGGAGCTAGCACAAAAACTTGATATCAAATCAAATGGATCTGTTATCCTAAGAATTTCAGCATTTGGAGACAAGAATAGTGAAATTCGTCATCTTGAGAAAGCAACGGTTCAGCTTGAAACATTAACTGGAGACAAAATTCCAATGGAGGTCATCATAATTCCAAAGATTGCAGCTCCAATCTCAAACAGATCACGTGTCAATATCAGGGAACTCTCATACCTTAGAGGATTAAAACTGGCACACCCGGTTAGCACAGAGGAACAGTTCCATATTTCAATGCTCATTGGTGCGGATTACTACTGGAACATAGTAGGGGAAAAAATCATTAGAGGAAATGGACCCACCGCAGTCGAATCAAAGGTTGGGTATCTAATATCTGGACCTATCCACTCAACAGAACCAATGAGAAGTGCACATCATAGGATACAATTTAAAAAACAAGATTTACGATGTTCCCCCTAGAGACATATTTGTTTCAAATTTTTTGAGACAGATATATCAAGACGTTGAAAGAGTTACTAGTACAGAGCACAATATATTTCTAATTCCAAAGTCATATCAAGGTGACTCTGATACAAGCAGAGTAAAGTCAAGGAATCCTCAGAAAGATCCCAGATTTGTGCCACAACAGATGGTGGGATTTTGTACTGTTTTACACGAACTTAGCAGTGAGCAGTATGGAGACTTGGAGAGCGATGAAAACAGACACCATTATAGTTATAGGATGAGAGACAAACCACATGAAGTAAGACGTGAAGTAGAACATAGGGAGAACAGAGTTCATGTTCAAAGAGGCAGAGGAGCATACAACAGACTTGTCAACAGAAAACAATATCACCGAAGGACAGGAACCACATGCAGCAAAATCAAAATTGGAATCGTCGTCGAAGTCCATGATGATTTCACAAATCACATCAATAAGAAACTTGCTGTAGTGATGGATCTCATAACTAGCGGAGATGGACACACAAGATCAGCAGTCTTACGTTTTAGTAACGGAACCATATCAAACCGTCCAATTACGAAATTTTGTCCCCTTGAGTTAAGGGAGTCAGATTCCAAAGTGAGGAGGAGTGAAAGACTTTCCAATTTATTTTTTTTTTTTGTAAAAACACAACGCAAAATACGAACTTTCTATCATTGTAAATTGTTATAATCTTCCTATATGTGACGTTAAAGTGCATGTGACATTAAGTAAATGTTTCTATTATGACGTCATCTTAATTATGACGTCATGGTAACGTCAATGTATTGCAATGTTATCCAGTGTTTCAAATGGTCAGTCTAGATAAACAAGTCAACGTGATTAGAGGTGTTTTTCATTCTATCTGACTCAACACAGTTAGAGCGCTTAATTAGCACTTAATTAGGGCTTCACCTCACATAATCAATTATCTCCTTGACCCTCGCCGGAGTTTACGCATGAACGAACAACGACAAATATTTTTTTTCCACACTTCTAGTAACGGTTAATTAATTGGTATTTTAATTTAAAATACATCGTATTTATTTTTTTTAATATCTAAATGTTTTTTTCTATAGAGTCACGGCTCTAGAATTATGTTGGCACTGATAGTTAAACATCGTATAGAAATCAATGGATGTAAAATAAATTGTTTTATTTTAATTGTACAAGGAACTCTCAAAAGTATTCTGAAGATTTTTTTTTTAATTCAGTAATTCGATTTAGAAAACTGGAAAAAAAAATCATGGCAAATTTACTATCAAAAATAGTAAAAAGTGTGTATTGACCAAAATTTCCTCTGCTTTTCAGAACATATTTTTTTACTTCTATCAGTATGTACGACCATACCATTTGTGTAACAAATTAGTGATTTAAAAAAAACTGTACTGTATTCTTTTGTAATTATAATGAATAGTGATTCAATCGCGAATTTGATCGCGAAAATACCGCAAAATTTGAGTGATTCGCGTAAACTCTGCAACACAGTAAAATTTCAAATCATGGAGAACCCTGGGAAATATTGTTCAGGTGATGTGTGAAGCTGGTGGCATTCAAGGAAGAAAAGTAAATCATAGTTCTAGAAAACGGCAATTAGTTCCCTTGTTCATGCAGGTGTTCCCCCAACGTTGATTCAGCAGTTGTCCGGTCAGAAGAATGTTAACTCGATAAATAAATACAGCACAGACTCAAGTGATCAGCAGAGACATATGTCCTCAATTCTCATTAATTATTCAAGTTTATCTGAAAAGGTATATCCAGAACAACAAGCCACTGAATCTTCGATTCCATCCCCTGATTGATCATCTCTACCACTGGCTCCCATAACGTCTTCATCTGACACAGATATCATTCATCAGACATTAACTGAAATTAGTTCTTTTGAAAATCAAACAAACGTGGAAAAACCCATTCTGAAGGAGCGTGTTGTAGGCAATTTTACAGGGGACCATATCTCTGGAAATGTCATATTTTACTTTGACTCCAAACCAAAAAAATCATGAAAAAGATGTAGAGTTATCTATAGTGATTCAGATTCAGATCAGCTGAAGAAACTTTAGATGTCAATTTCCACTGATTACATCTAGTTTATAAAGTTTTATACATTCAGCATGTATGTCATCAGTGATCAGTACGAAACATTGACCATATTAAATTAGTAACTGTACAAATATGTATGATAAAACTAGAGGTACTGTGAGCAATGAGCTCACTAAATGATACCCCCGCCTCCCATAATGTCGATGTGTTGCTTTATATTGTTTAGTTATTAATATATATATATTACATTAAAGTGATACCAGTGAATCTGATTCCGAGTCTACAGACGCAGAAGAAACAGACCTTGTAAGAAACAAATCCAAGTTTAACCCAAAACGAGGAAGAAATAAAACTTTGGATGCTGTTTGCGACACATTGGAAAATATTCACTTCCCAAATAAACCCAGGACTATTAAACCAAACCTTTCTAAGGAAGAAGAAAAGGCTCTTAAAAACCTCAGCGATGATCCTACCATCATAATCAAAGAGGCCGATAAAGGAGGCGGAGTCGTCCTTATGAATAAGGATTTTTACAAAAGTAAAATTTTACAAATGTTGCAAGACAATAATTTTTATGAAAAATTGCGCAACTGTCATGAGAAGAAAACAATTACAAAAATAAAAAACTTAGTATATGGACCACTATCTGAGGGTTTAACAGATAAGGAAAAGGACTACCTGACAAACTTTGAATTCCGAGAGAGTCAATTCTATGGTTTACCTAAAGTGCACAAGTCTAAAATTATAAAGGATGCCATAAAAGAGCAAAATAGTATATGTATAACATGTGCTGATCCCGCTGATTTAAGCTTCAGACCAATTGTAGGAGGACCGAACTCTTCAACGCAAAGACTGAGTCATTTATTGGATATACTTTTAAAACCATATTGTCAAAAAGTACCCAGCTTTGTGAGAGACGATCTTGATTTTATAAATCATTTACCTACTCATGTCACCTCTAACACCAAACTTGTCACACTGGATGTTGTAAGTTTGTACACAAATATTCCTACAGAATTGGGATTGCTAGCTGTCAAATTCTGGACTGAAAATTATCCCGATGTTCTAAACAACAGGTTTCAGCGGGACTTCATCCTAGAGGCTCTAAAATTAGTTCTAGATAACAATACGTTTGAGTTTGCAGACCATCATTACCTCCAAATTAAGGGAACAGCAATGGGGACAAAAGTCGCACCTACCTATGCAACATTAACCCTTGGTTATCTAGAACATAAATTACATGATCAACTGTGTACGTTGTGGGGGATAGAATCTGCAAACAAAATACGGTCTAAATGGAAAAGATTTTTAGACGATTGTTTTATCTTATGGGATGAGGATGTCGATAAACTAACGGAGTTTTATGATCTACTTAACCAAATGAATTCGGATATCAAATTCACGATGGAAACAGATGATTTGCAAATGCCATTCCTCGATGTTCTTGTAACAAAGGATAATACCAGCTTAAATACGGATATTTACTATAAACCAACCGATACACACCAATATCTGCATTTTGGATCAAGCCATCCCCATCACACTAAAACAGCTATACCATATAACCTCGCAAGAAGAATATGCACCATTGTGAGTAATACCAATATCAGGGATATTCGACTGGAGGAATTAAAATTGTATTTATTAAACCAAAAATATCCAGAACAACTTGTAGATAATGGTATAAAGAAAGCCAAGGAGTGCGATAGAAGTCAGTTACTTTTAAACATACGACGTGCGAATGACGTTGAAATAATTCCATTTGTGCACACGCATAACCCGAGAAATCAAAACGTGAGTTCAATTATTCATGAACTGAACAACGTACTTAGAGAGGACGAACAAACGAAAAACGTATACAAGAATTGTCGTTTTATCAACAGTAAACGCCAACCGAAAAACCTAAAGAGAATACTTTGTTCTTCCAAATTCAACGACCATACTTATACAGTCTCTAAGTGTAAGAACCCTCGATGCGGTACATGTGAATACATTACAGAAGGGACCAGCTATAATTTCAATGGACGTGAATTTAGAGTTAAAGAAAACATGTCATGCGATACAAAAAATGTCATTTATGTCATCACATGTCCTGGATGCAAGGAATATTATATTGGTGAAACCGGCAACACTCTCCGTGCCCGTGTACGTGTACATAAGCAACACATTAGTACACCCGAATACAGACAAATTCAATTAAGTTCGCACCTGGAAGCGTGTGGTAAAAAACAATTCAAAATTTTCCCTTTCTATAAACTCAGTTGTGCCACTGATATCCAGAGACGGGAAAAAGAAAAACATTTTATTAGTATTTTTCAACCAAAACTTAATAGTGTTTTATAAATTACTTGTGATTTCCCCGTATTTTTGTCATATTGTATCTATGACGTCATAATAGACATTTAACGTTCCGCTTAACATGACGTCATAATCACTGTTACTATGATACTATTGTAAGCTTCTGAAGATTGAAAAATGAAAGCGCTAAAGCTTAACTGAGGATTTTTGTGTTTTCTTTTTTACCTTTTTTTAAATATTGTTATCCGATTACTGAGACATTATTTAAATTTTGGATATATATATATATATATATATATATATATATATATATATATATATATATATATATATATATATATATATATATATATATATATATATATATAGTTCCCTGTCGCGAGTTTGATAAAAGAGCTATGATATCCCACACTTAGCCAGTGGATATGTGTATAATATCACAATTAAGAATTCAAATATATTACATGTAACAATTAAACTATGTTATATGTAACTATTTAAAAGGAAAAAAACTATAAAAATAGAAATCAAGTGTCTTTCAAAAGTTTAAGATATAACTCTTTTTATCTGATTTTACTCTGACTAGAATTTAGATGTAGAGTCTTTAATAAGTTCCTTTTTTAAACATGGAATGATTTTGAGTAAGAAGGAAATCGTAGAGATGCACTTGTTTGTAAATAAACCTGACTATCAAATCCATTTTGAATATATTAGGATGGACTCTAGTCTCTGTGTCTGATCATCATCACAGTCTGTTTTAAGGCTTCCCTTTTTTTCCAGTGATACCATACCGGGTATCTTATATCAGACACACCAGACTGTCCATACAGTCCGTTCAGGTTTGAGAGGCCACATCTGTCGTACCACCAGGCTCCGTGTCGGTTTGTAGCACAGTTAACATCTGCCCTGTCGTTATCCTTGTCCTTTGTTGTGAAGTCCATTCCATTGAGATTAAACAAACTTTCACCTATATAACAGAGTATATGATGAAATACACTCAAATGTGTAATTTATATAAAAAAAATTATAAAATCTAATTCAAAAATTACACGTATGTTTATAGTCCAGTAAAGAAGCTAATTTTAGTTTGGATGATACTAAATAATAATAATAATAATGATAATAATAATAATAATGCTTTATTTAGAGAAGGTAACCCGATTAGTACAAGGTACTATCCCTCCCCGGGGCATTCTAAATTCAAACAACATATTACATAAAATGATACAATGAAAGATAAAACATGTAAAGTTTGTTAATTCATGAGTAGTTAAATGTAATGTACAGCTAATGAATAAAGACTCAAAATAACGAAGTCAATAATAATTGTTCAGGAGATGTTTTAAAACAATAGTAATAATCATACATCATGTACAAAGGATATATCAAAACATTTATTTACAGGCGTTGGCTATTTATAATTTTTTCTACATTTCGTCTAAAAATAGCTAAAAATGGTGACAATTTTACATGGAATGGTAGATTATTTCATAAATTTACACCTGAATATTGAAGAGAATTTGTAAATATAATTGTTTGATGTTTTTGTAAACGAAGATTATGATTTAATTCTGAACGTAAGGAATAAAAATCATGGCTATGAAAAACAAAAAGGTCCTGAAGATATTCAGGGCTCATACCATAAAAAGTTTTGTATAATAAAATATACTTATGTAGCGTGACAAATTCAAACACAGTTAGTCATCCCACTTTTTCATACAAGGGTTTTGATGGCTTGATGCTGCATCAAGAATAATTCTAGCAGCCCGTTTCTGAAGTTTATGAATTCTTTCAATGCTAGTTTTAGATGCATTACCTTAAACGGTAAGACAATAGTTTATTGAAGGCAAAATATATGCATTATAAAAAGGTTTTTTGATATTTAATGGAGGAAATTTCTTAATTTTACACAGTGTAAATAAATTGTATGTTAAGGATTTACAAACTGAGTCTATATGATAATTATACCGAAGATTTTGATCTATTTGAACACCTAAGAGTTTTTCATAGATCAATGAAAAGGCACGTTGACAAGCATTCAGAAGATTGCTGGTTCAAATCCAAGTGTTTGTACCGTGTTAATTGTGACCTTGCATAAAGTTCTAGATCACCCAAAAATAGAAAAAGGCTAACACCACTTAGCACTACAGAAATTGTTTATGTGAGCCCAAGAACACCATAGCTTTGGAAGTATACTTGTCAAAATTTCTGATTCCCCACTTTTATTTTTTCTAAAAGTTCAAAACATCAACATCAATGTACTAGTTGCTCACAATTTTGCCTTTATTTTGCTATACTCACCTGTCGAGGCCAAAAAAATTGTAATCGAATTTGTAATTACTCGACCATGACTGCTTTTGCTAAAAAGTAGGAAGTTCGAGTTCCATATGTTTTTCGGGTGTATTCTACATATTTTTTACTTTCATACGTTCTCCAACTTTGCTTGATAACGATAAACAGAAAAAAGGTTTAATTAAAATGCGGTGTATAACCACACAACCATGTGAAAGTGAAGTTGAATGGCCCAAGCTTGTCGTAGTTAACAAGAGTTCTGTTTCCTTTCACTGTATGACTTTATTTTACTTAAAACCTTTATAATTACCGCCCGAAAATCCTAACAAGAGGCCCATGGGCCACATCGCTCACCTGAGTAACTTCAGTGCTGCAGTTCTTTACCAGATTCCCCATCTTGCTATACCTATCATGCCCAACTAACCCCTTCCCTATTATAATTTTAAAACTTTAGAATCTACACTACCCAAGGATGCTTCCACATAAGTTTCAGCTTTCCTGGCCCTGTGGTTCTTGAGAAGATTTGTTCTATATATTTCTATGTAAAACTTGGATTCCCTATTGTGGCCCCGCCCTACCCCCGGGGGTCAAGATTTTTACAATTTAATATCTACACTACCCAAGGATGCTTCCACATAAGTTTCAGCTTTCCTAGCCCTGTGGTTCTTGAGAAGAAGATTTTTAAATATTTGTTCTATATATTTCTATGTAAAACTTGGATTACCTATTGTGGCCCCGCCCTACCCCCGGGGGTCATGATTTTAACAATTTAGTATCTACACTACCCAAGGATGCTTCCACATAAGTTTCTGCTTTCCTGGCCCTGTGGTTCTTGAGAATAAGATTTTTAAATATTTGTTCTATATATTTCTATGTAAAACTTGGATTCCCTATTGTGGCCCCACCCTACCCCCGGGGGTCATGATTTTAACAATTTAATATCTACACTACCCAAGGATGCTTCCACATAAGTTTCAGCTTTCCTGGCCATGTGGTTCTTGAGAAGAAGATTTTAAAAGATTTGTTCTATTTATTTCTATGTAAAACTTGGATTCTCTATTGTGGCCCCACCCTACCCCCGGGGGTCATGATTTTAATAATTTATTATCTACACTACCCAAGGATGCTTTCACATTTGTTTCAGCTTTCCTAGCCCTGTGGTTCTTGAGAAGAAGATTTTTAAATATTTGTTCTATATATTTCTATGTAAAACTTGGATTCTCTATTGTGGCCCCGCCCTACCCCCGGGGGTCATGATTTTAACAATTTGGTATCTACACTACCCAAGGATGCTTCCACATTTGTTTCAGCTTTCCTGGCCTTGTGGTTCTTGAGAAGAAGATTTTTTTAGTGACCCCACCCATTTTTTGTCTTTTCTTGATTATCTCCTCTTGCAAGGGGATATGTCCCTTCATTCTCACAATTTAAATTCCCCTTTACCCAAGGATGCTTTGTACCAAGTTTGGTCAAAATTGGCCCAGTGGTTCTTGAGAAGAAGTCGAAAATGTTAAAAGTTTACAGACGGACGGACAGACGGACAGACGGACGGACACACATTTGGTTATATATTGGGTACATCAAGTCCAAGTCCTATTGGATACTGCTTATTGGATACAAAAAAAGTGTACACACGAGAGAGCATTATTTGGGTAGTTACTGTTCAAATCTTATTGGATATCAATCCTCGTGTCCCGTATTTTATTGGGTTTTTTCTTATTGTTTTTTTATTCATTTCAAATGTATTATATATTTGATATTTGCTGGTAAATTCAGACAAGACTGAAAACCTTTGGTTTTGAACCCATATTTTTTGTCAATTTCTGTGATATAGCTCTTTTATTGTAACACCTAACTAATTTGTTCTTAGCAATAAGGGTATACACCTGTATATTTCAAAATATCTAATATTAAAATATATGAATATCTAAGTGCAAAAAAACTGAATTGGAAAGAATGAAGGTATCCAACAGGCATTGGACAGGTGTCCAATACCTGTTGGGGTTGAATTTTGACGAAGGGATTAAACTACCCAAGAACAATAGAACATGTGTACATTGTCCAAATCTATTTGGGTTTCTTGAATCTCGTCATCAAAATACAACCCAACAGGTAATGGACACCTGTCCATTTCCTCTTGGATATCTAATCCCACCCAACAGGTAATGGAAACTTGTCCAATTCTTCTTGGGTTTCTTGAATTGTTTCATCAGAATACCACCCAACAGGTAATGGACATCCGTCCAACTCTTCTTGGATATCTACATCCAACCCAACAGGCAATGGACACTTGTATAATTCTTGGGTTTCTTGAATCTCCTCATAAAATACAACCCAACAGGTAATGGACACCTGTCCAACTCCTCTTGGATATCTACATCCCACCCAACAGGTAATGGACACTTGTCCAATTCTTCTTGGGTTTCTTGAATTGTTTCATCAGAATACCATCCAACAGGTAATGGACATCTGTCCAACTCCTCTTGGATATCTACATCCCACCCAACAGGTAATGGACACTTGTCTAATTCTTGGGTTTCTTGCATTGCATCATCAAAATACAACCCAACAGGTAATGGACAGCTGTCCAACTCTTCTTGGATATCTACATCCCACCCAACAGGTAATGGACACTTATCCAATTCTTCTTGGGTTTCTTGAATTGTTTCATCAGAATACCACCCAACAGGTAATGGACACCTGTCCAACTCCTCTTGGATATCTACATCCCACCCAACAGGCAATGGACACTTGTCCAATTCTTCTTGGGTTTCTTGAATTGTTTCATCAGAATACCACCCAAAAGGTAATGGACATCCGTCCAACTCCTCTTGGATATCTACATCCCACCCAACAGGCAATGGACACTTGTCCAATTCTTCTTGGGTTTCTTGAATTGTTTCATCAGAATACCACCCAACAGGTAATGGACATCCGTCCAACTCTTCTTGGATATCTACATCCCACCCAACAGGCAATGGACACTTGTCTAATTCATGGGTTTCTTAAGAAATCCCCTCATCAGAATACTACCCAACATGTAATGGATACCTGTCCAATTCTTCTTGGATATCTTCATACCCTTCAATAGTATATAAACTAAAAGGTATTGGACATTCTTCTTGGTTTACTCATTTTTTTTCATAAGAAAGAAAGCCCAATAGGTATTGGACATTGGTTCAACTCTTCTTGGATATTACAACCCAACATTAGAATAAAACCCAACAGGTGATGTTTACCTGTCCAATTCTTCTTGGGTTAATTGTACCCTTCATTAAAATTGTCAAATTTGTCTTGGATATTTATACTCTTGCATTACATTGCAAACCCAATAAGTATGAGATTTACCTTCCCTAGTTGAATTCAAATTTATCTACATAAGCATACATAAGTCCAAAACATATTTAATACTTTAATTCTAACATTCCACATCTCATTCAGTGTACACTTTACAAATGATAGGAAATATATAAGCATTTTGTGCCTAAACTATTTGGCTTTTAAAGAATTTTATAAAAATTTAACTTAATTTAAATTTTAACTTAAATATTGGAACTTGGAGCAAGTCATTACAGTTAGAGCAAGATGCTGAAAACCATATTGATAAATAGATCACATCCTTGATAAAATATTTGCCTTCAGTTGCTAAGATTGTGTTGTATTATATGGAA